CAATCACTATAACTGTGCAGCATCCAAACTTCCACCAGAGTTCTGTAGATGAGGCCCTGATGGCAAGTACTCTTCCCACATGCAGTATATATATTTCTACGGAAAACGTAAAATTCGGTCAGATTAGTTTTGAAAATTTAACGGGGTAGACGTAATCGAGTGATAGTCAGTCTTATGAATTGGAGGAATTAACCGTCATTTTTGTGATCTATTGTAGATGGAGATTTATCATAATTTATTTCAGGAGTCTTAAAATCCCAGTTTAACTAGATTTGACAAAAACAGGATTTACAGAAAATTCTTCGATGGACTTTGATGTAATGGATTTTTATTTTCTTTTGTTTGCAAATTCAATTTATCACTGAGCCAAATGCTGACAGAAATTTTTCATACAAATTGTTAGTCCATTATTTATACACTGAATTGACAACGAATTTTTTCGTTATATTCCTGATCATGACAAGGAGCACACGGCGGGTGTGACCGGTCAGCAGGGGATGCTCATTTCTCCATGCATATCACACCTGATCCCATCTCTGATGTTTCGGAGGTCTGTGTTTGCTCTGCTCCTGTTTTATATTGTTTTATAGGCTTTGAGATTGAATATTGTTCGTTATCTACATATCCTTCTTTTACGATATAAACATTCATCTCAACATTTAATCAAACGGAGATAACGGGTTATTTCAAAGAATAAATCAGCTGTCTTCAAAGAAAACAAAAAACATCCTACTCTCAACTCCCGGTCTTTACATGTTAGTGCCCTTTAACAACATTAGGGGCACAACCTATAACCACTAGAATTGACACATCTGGAGATAACAAACATTTTTCATAATCAAAAGTCCATAAAACAATACAACATCTGAGCAGACCAAACATGAACCTCAAAAACACCAGAGGTATGACCAGGTGCTTATGAAGTAGTGAGCATCCCCGACCGATGTGTACTCCTTGTCATGATCTGGAAATAACGGAAAACTCGTCGTCAATGCAGTGTACATGTATAAATAATTGACTAACAATTACGTATGAAAAACGTCAGTCAGCATTTGATTCAATGATTTGCTGACTAGGTCATTGTATCGACCATAGAACTTACAAAATGATGACTTTAAGCGAGACAGCTGATTTTCTTGTTTCATCAACATTTTTGTCAATAATTTACCTCGTTGTAGAAATTGTTCAAACATAGATCATGCTCGTGGGAAGTTGACGATAGATAAGTTTAAGTCATTACGTTTATCATAGAGCTTGGTTGTGAGATTTCCAAGATGTTCTTATCTGTTATAAAGTCTACATACCTCCTAACAGGATACAGGTTTAGTTTAAAACATATTTTATTCATTGAAATGGATTGAATATCAGGCATAAATGCCTACCTGCATTCTCCATACAGGTTTAAATGCCAAGTAAACCGTCAACTGTGAAATTAGTGCTCCTCGAAAACGCCCATACCTAAGTATACAATCTCACATGATCTTAATATTTCATTTATTGAAAACACAGGCAAGAATCCTTCCGTAAAATAGAAAATACACAATAATTGATGGCGGGAAAAGTTTTTGTTTTAAATATACACGACAGATCATAAATAAACGACTATTTCATGTTTAATCAACATTGTGCTTTTAATAAAAACTATATCTGTGAAGATGGGCATTCCTATTAAATAATGTTAAATTTATTGTGGGGACATTTCAAGGAAAAGCTTGTGGATTATTTGAAGTGAACTTTTTCGAGTTTCGAAGTTGATGAATGGTAACTTCTACTCATTCAAGATATTTTTGTTATGGGAATCCCCCAAAAATCCACTGAAAAACGGATCTCATGAATACGATTCTGCCAACTCACAAATTATGTATGAATTGAACTCTACGGGATAATGTGGTGTAAGTTGTAAATATAAATATACTTTATATTGTTTGTTAAACTTGACTTTACTAAGATTTCGTCTAGCTTACAAACCATTTCAAAGATTTAGACAGGTATGCCTTAACTTATGCTTATAAATATTTTCATACAGGGTTATTTTCGCCCTGTGTTATTTTTGCTCTTTTACACTTACTTACATTTGCCCCTTTTTCAATTCGCCCAGTCTGAGTTTTGTTGAGAAATTATGTTGTATTCTTTGGATTCGCCCTGTTTTACATTCGCCCACTTGAGACGAGGGCGAGAGGGGCGAAAATAAAACGGATTCGAAAATTTCCTTTATACAGTATGTATAATAACCGAAAGACAGCAATTAATCACATTTGGTATCTGATAACAAATACAATTATCATTTTTAGTGTAGCAAGAAAACTAACAAGTGGTCAATGTCAATATTTACATATAAACGTGTTCTGAGAGTACTCAACCATCACATTTGGCCATGATGTAAAGTTGTCCATGTCACCCAATCTGCAGTGTAATTCAATTGAATTTTTATAATTTTTTTGTATTCTTCCGATTTTTATGGATTTTTAAAAAGGTCTGACCATGTCATCCGATTTATCACATGGTGATTCTATTATGCTGGATTCCACCAGCACAAGCAATACAATCTCAATGAAGTCGAGTCCAAAATCCAATGCTGGGAACCGAAGAATATGATGGTTGCGTCGTATTTGTCAAACAGGCGAAACGAATACAAGAACATGAAAAATCCAGATATGAATGCTAGGAGTTTTGCAATAACTGATATTTTGTGGGCCAGCATCAACGTTTCATTATCTTCGTTTTCTTCGCGGTGTTTGCCTATCTGCTTTAACCTCTCATGATCTTTTATTAAGCCAAGGTATCCACAATATACAATGGTAATTAGCGTACCAAATAAAATGAGAAGACAGAAAACCAACATTGTTATGCACATGCTATCAGATAGCATTGTTTCACCAAATGATACCAAACGTTATCAATTCAACTAAAAGACATAAATCCACTATACACAAAAGCAGGAAGGCGGTATGGAGATGTATTTTTTTAAGAATATGAGATCCAAAACAGTGGATACATAAGGCTGAAATAATGTCAAAAACGCTGGTCTCCATCTTAAAATTTCTATGTACCGGACTGTCCTTTCCAAAATGATGCTAACTAATTTTCTGATAGCAAAATTAATGTTAAGAAAGGGAAAAAAAACCTGATCTATTATTATTCGCTGGCAGATTTAATTGGGTTATTAATTCGATTTTTTAAATCTCATTGATTTGATATTATAGGTATTTTAAATGCCATTATCCTCTCAAATAAAAGTCTTCAATCTATGTTTTCTTCAGAGTAGACACTATCAGTAGTATAAGACGCCTAGATAGACGGGTCAACTGAGTGCACTTTTGGGGTTGGGGGGATAGGCGGGTCAACTGAGTGCAGGTTTGGAGGGGGATAGGTGGGTCAAGGGAGTGCAGCCCCTGGGGGATAGGCGGGTCAAGAGAGTGCAGTCCCTGGAGGGGATAAAGTGGGTCAATTCAGTACATATGTTGCATTATCTTTTTTATATATCTATTGCATCATCTTTTTGATACCTGTTGCATCATCTTTTTAGATCTATTGCATCATCTTTTTGATATACCTGTTGCATCATCTTTTATATCTATTGCATCATCTTTATACTTGTTGCATCATCTTTTTAATACTTATTGCATCATCTTTTTTGATACCTGTTGCATCATCTTATTATACCTGTTGCATCATCTTGCAAAAAATAGGTTGGACTTATCTTTCTGTAAACTATCTAATCAGCGAGCTTACCTATGCATTGTGACGTCATAAACTTGGCAGCGACGTCATGTTAGTCCTTCACAAGCAGCGATGGCTGCTTATTTTGACACAATAACACAGACTTTCACAGCGCTTGAGACTTCATGTAATAACAGTATGGTCCTATGGATTTCAGTACCAAAACTGATTTTCTACCTTTTTTCTTCCAAGAAAGTTCTGAACAGCTGAATCCTGGATCAGCCTAGATGTTATTTCACTGGATTATTTAATGAATATTACTCTACTGAGTTACCTGGTTACATGGTAAGTTTTAACAAACTTTTCTTTATACATTTTCTATCAAGGTCATCTTTGTATTTATTCATTATTACTGTGTTATATACCTTATGTTTAGAACATTCATACAAACACTGCCATTTGTTTACCCTGAAATACACTAGGACACTAAAAGATCCTCAAAATGTTGATAAATCTTTTTTGCATGAGTTATGATCATATTGTCTCACATTCCTTTTATTGGATCAGTATTCTAAATATTCTTATGAGGAGACTCCTAGCATATCTTATAAAATACTGATACATGCTTTTAAAACAACTAAAGTGATATTCTCAGTTGTTATTTCTAATATTTCTATGAATCTTTAATCACAGTGACCAAAAGAAGGATATGGAGATAATCAATCAGATCATATTATGTCAATGAATCTTTTGTCTCAAATCTTTTTTAATGAAATATACAGAATCTTTTGCCTTATTTGTCACTCATATTTTTACATTCTGGTGCAACAGTGGCCCAATGAAAGTGGGAAAAACTCAGTCTGAGCATCTCTGTAAATCTATAAACATGTGTGCCCCCCTTTTTTTGTACCTTCATGTATATACATGTATGTATTTTATTTAGTCAGTGATTTCAAACATCAACATGTCAAATATATATTGAGTACTTTAAAAGTGAATATGTATGATTTTTTCACCCTGAATATTCTGACATACTAATGGTGACATCAGTTAAAAGAGTAATTAGTTATGTAAAATTCAGTTTATATGAATGTAAACGGGGTATTTATTCTCAGTTCATGTAAGGTATAATTTGCATGTAACCCAGAGTGTATTTAATATTACTATGATGGGTCATTCTGTGATTGAATTTAAATCAGGAAAAATGTTTACTAAATTTTGGTAAAATACATATGGTATCTTTTACATTTCTGTCCTGTTTGTCTGTCAATTGTTGCTTTACTTCCTTTGTAAAATGAGGTTAATTTGTGTATCACTGAATATTGTATGCTTTTTTTCAGGATCAGCTAAGATGTTGTTTCACTGGATTATTTAATTGGGCATATAATTGGATAATTCTGGTAAGTTTGTCTTTATTTTGTTTACATTTCCTATGAAGGTCATCTTTGCATTTAACCATGATTATATGGTTTAATTTAATTACTGTGTAATTCTTATGTGATCTAATATCTCTAACATTCATATGAGCACAGTCTTATTTTGTCTAAAATATACTAAGGAAACTTCATATTGTTAATAAGTCCTTTTGCATAAATTATGATATAATGTCATAATTCATTATGTCTGTTACCCATGGAATTCAGACTTACTAAATTGTGATCTATAAGGAATGTAATAAAAGAAAAAGTAAGAATCTACAAAAGGTTTATCCTTGTTTTGATTCTAAATATGTGGTATATATGGCATACATATATTTTCATTTTCACTTTTGTTTCTTGGTAATGAGCTTTTCAAAAAATGTAGGACTTCATGTTGTATATGCTAATATCTTTTTGTATGCTGTACTGACAGGTATTAAACAAAATTGAATATGCTGTTAAGAGAAAGTCTGTTAGTGTCTAAAAATTACACTGATAATCATTTTGTATTTGTGATATTAATACAGTAACTGTGCTTCTTTTGTTATCTAAAGATAACATGATGAACTATTTTCATGAACTTTTTGGCACTGTATTTAAACATGCTATGTTTCATGCAGTTCCTTGTCATATTAACAAAATGATTATATTTTCTACAGTCCTCAACCTGGAAGATATGTTTTATTCCCAACCATCTATAATCCATTCTCTATGAAGTTCAGCCTGTCTGCCCAAATTCCTTTGGAAATACATAGTTAGTCAACCAACATAGAAACAATCAAACTTGAAGGTAAAGTTTCAATGAGATATCATTTTAATTTATTTAATTCTGTTTTATTTAAATGTTTATATTTTAAAATGGATAAAAAAAAATGGATAAAAAACATCTGATAATGGAAATCAATATCATAAAGATAGTAAGTTTTTTAGTGTCTAAATAATTAATCTGATAATCATTTTATTTATGATATTAATACAGTAGTTGTGCTTGTTTATTATCTATAGATAACATGATGAACTTTTCTCATCTGGAGTTAATGTTAAAAACAATTTTTTGAGATTAAAAACAAATATTTTCATGATCTTTTATGGCATTGTACATGTTGTATTTAAACATGCATTGTTTCATGCAGTACTCTGTCATATTAACAAAATGGTTTTATTTCTACAGTCCTCAACATGGAAGAATTGGTTTGTTCTTAACCATCTATAATCCATTCTTTATGAAGTGAAGCCTGGCTGCTGGTCTTCCTTTGGAAATACACAGTTAGTCAATCAACATAGAAACACACAAACTTGAAGGTAAAGTTTCAATGAGATACAATTGTAATTTTTATTTATTTATTTATTTATTTACATATGCATTTTTAAATTTTTGAATTGATAAGTAAATGATATATGATTTTTTTAAAATAAAGAGGGCTTGGTGGTCATGGTCATGTTTAAACTCTATTGATATCCTTTAGAAGAAGAAGAAAAGGCATAAAAATTCATGATCAAATCTTTAAAACTAAAATGTATGAAATTTTTCTTTGCCAAATGATAGTTAACAGCTGAAGATAACATATTTATAGAATAAGTTAAATATGGCTAATTTGTTAACCCCAGCTTCCTTAATAGCATAATTGGTAAAGATAGGAAGTTTTGACTTCAATTGCTGATGAATTCTGAATTTTCCATTTAATATTAACATTCTATCAAAGAGAAAGAATACTATAATGTGGCTCATTAGGATGACCAGAAAAGAAATCTTAATGAACCTCTTAACTATGTATAAAGATTGTAACCTTATAACTGATGTAAGATGATCTGATTGTGTGGAAATAACATTTCCTGGTGTTTCTAATACCCAATATCTTCTTATGAGTGTATGGGACTGCTGTAAACCTTCTCCTGTTTATAAAAATAATACCTTGGAGCATGACACTTTATTCATAAAAGGTACTTTCAATATCATTTCTATGAGTTTGTATTCTTTCTTTTTAATGTCTAGTGTTATATCTCCTTTAACCTCATTAATATGTATGCTTCCAAATTCTTAGATCTGTCTGTATAGTTTCTTCAGCTCTTTAAACACAAATACCCTGATTCAATCTTTTGAGGTAAACATCATAGAGACATCATAGATGATTATCAGAGTGTATATATCACAATCTTGACCATAAGGTCAATTTAAATGGTCAAAGGCACAACAAATGAAAGTGATTTTTTTTTTAATCAGAATACATAATTTTGTAATAAACAAACACTGGAAAGTTACTCTCATAATGAGCCTTAATGTCTTCCAAGAGTTCAGTTTAGACTTCCTCCATTAATCCTTGTATCTTGTAATCCTTGTATCTCCAATGGTTTTGTGGGTTTAAAATCCTGTGTCTTTGTCAATCTTTTTTTCTGACAACTGTTTTTTCTTATCATCTATAAACTTAGCTTCTTCTCTAGTCAAGGGTCTTTCAGGGTAATCCAAGTAATTCTTACCCTCTTTTGGTGATAAATCATGGTTATATTCTTCATTGGCTTCTTCTGCAATCAAGGGTCTTTCTATGTAATCTCTGACAACATTAGGATCACCCTTTTCTGGACATAATTGGTTATATTCTTCTTGAGAAATGATCTCAATAGTGCCATCTTTTTTTATTTTAACTGGTATTCCTCTGTCTACATCTTTCTCTGATAGAACTCTCTTTCCAAACTGAATTTTACTCATTCCCTTACTCTTTTCTTTACTGGAGGTGTTACCCATATTTAATATGAAAAGTCAAAATCTGATGTAACACCTTGTATTTATACCCTTTTTGTCTATATTTAGAATTCCATCAAGCTTATATTGCATTACAATTTTTCTTTTTCAACTAAGACATTATTTTTTTTTATTTTCCAGGATTCTCTAGTGAGGGCTTATGGAAATGATCTATGTCTACTCTCAGAATGGTGAAAGACTATCAGATTATGCAAAGATTAACAGAATATCCTCTCTTGGAACACTGAAACAAGAAAACCAAACTTAAAAGATGGAGGATTTAAGAAGAACATAAATACTATTTCCAACTAATTTAACCAGTACGATCATAGACTGTGGTTTACAGGATGACAAAGAAAGAAGTCAGGATTGTATCTTCCAGTGTCAGACACTGACTATGGATAAAGTGTAATCATTTATCAAACTGAGATATAGTCAAATCAAGTATTGAAAATATGATTTTCTGATAGCATGAGCTCTTTAAAAACTAATTCTCACGGACCTCAAAGTATCTGAATGTGACTTTTATTTTGACCAATTCATATTGAAGACTGTTGTTATGTATGGTAATTACATATTTAAAACTTTTATTTTTCATCTAATTTTTACAACCCCCTAGAAATTACACAGATTTCCAGATGCTGAATTTAATGTTATTATTTAACTTTCCTGGAATTGTAAATATATTTTGTTTGTGTATGTATCATGTTTAATTTTGAATTTGAAATTGGTCTCAGTAAGACCCCCAATAAAGATGCAAGTGTCCCATAATCTGTGGTTTAATAATATCTTGAATATCTTTATCATACCATATTCATCATACTCATTACATATAGAATGGTTGTAGGAATACACTTTGTTGTTTAGGACACTTTGTCAAGGTCAAAGCATAAGATTATTGAGATGACTTCTTTGACAATAATTTGTAACTTACAAACTTCACATCATAAGTACACAGATGAAGAATCAATAAGATATTTCTATAGATTTTTTTTGGATCATTTACTCCTGGGTAAAAGTTAATTACTGAGATTACTGATTTGAGTCCTGTAATGCAATAACTTTAACATTGTGTGATAACTTATAGACTTTATAAAAAATTAGGTGCAAATTCTTAGGAAAGGATTGAAATGTTAATCAAATGAACAATGTTCAAGGGTGTTTATATGACTGTAACGTTTCAGGGTATAGTGGTGGTTTTTGAATACTTTGTATTCTTTTACCACTCTGTGGTTTACCCCGTTACAGAAATTATATGTGGGTCTCTTATTTCTGAAATTTACCCAATAATAAGAAAAGATGGTCAATTTTCTATAAATTTATTAAAAACCAATAAAAACAGTTAAAACAGCTAAATGTCAGGAATTTACTAAAATATGGCCAAAATCAACAAAAAGTGGCAAAAACTGGGGAAAATGGGTATTTTACTCAAAAAAATGGGTATTTTACCCATAAAATGGGTGTTTTACCCCTAAAATGGTGAATTTACCCAGGAAAAGGATGGGGACCCAAAATCACCGGGTTTGTAATGGCATCAGCCTACCCAAACCAATGGTACAAAACGTACCTATGGGTAGAGTACCAGTCTAATGGGCACTGAAGGCACCATGCCTGGTTGAGCAGCGCAAGCACTACTGATGATTTTCTCTCGGAGCGTTTATTATATACCTTTTGGTTGGTAGGTGCGAAATACTCCACGCGCGAATAACGTGCGGTGCCGCCATTATTCGCGCGACATTTGTCAACAACTTTGCACCAAGTAAACAAGGTTTTAAAAAAGTATTACAAACGCTGGAAAAGGATGAATTATTGGTTTGGGATTACTTTGGAGATGATGCCAAGTGTATTTTGAGTTACATGAGTAGAATAACAATGCCAGGTGGCCATTTGTTATTACGATATGGCTGATCAATGGAGGAAATTCGGGTTTGTACTATACAACCATGAAATAAACATATACGATAAATTATAAAGCATACATTAATAACATACGATGATTGGTGGTATTCCCATGATATCTACAAATAAAATTACGATATCTACATTTAATATTCAGGGCATAAATTGGGTGATCCAATCTTGTGGGTTGTTTGGGTATTGAAGGGGAGAATCTGTAATACAGCCCCCCTTCCAGGAAAACATTCGTCCCGAATGTTGGATCGTTTTATCATAACTCATTTTGGTGACTAGTTTTCATGGGAATATCGCCATGTAATTAAAACATAGTCAATGAGTAACATTTGCAATAACATAATCATGGGCCACAAGAATACATTTACAAATATCGTTATATATCAATAAATACAATCAACAAGTTACAATCATAGGCATGAATAACAATAATATGAATAACAGTTTGTCGATTATCAATACATAACTTTTACCAAAATATTTTATAAAACAATGTCTTCATTTATCACAGTTCATCTTCACATCCTGGATCCACTGGAATTTTATAGAAAAGTCACGACCGGGACGCATCACAAATCTCCAAAAGACAATTGTTCTGATTTCACAAATATTCACATTTTCTATACAGCTAACACAGTTACATAATATATTTCTTTGAGATGTCCACAAAGTCCAGCACACGTCTACTTATTTCAAATTCAGCGTCATCGGAAAATGGTCAGGATCCATATCCGGAATTACATTACTCGACCTGGAAGGATTCCTCAAACTAAGGTATGAACCAGGGATGGCTCGCCTAAGTGATGGGTATGGTACAGCTGATTTTTCTACATTACTCTGTCCTAGAGAGGGTATAGTGTCTAGCACACTATTGGAGACATCAATATTTAGGATATTCAATAATCCTTCATGGTTAGGGTAGGACAAGGCCGGGGAACCGGTTAGGGCTCTTTTGAGTTTGTCATAAGCTACATGACAATTTTCATTCAAATGAAACTCTTGTTTTGATTCATTTGCAATTTCTTTGGGTAGTTTCTCAATATTAGAACATGGCAAGTGGTCTAGAAATTGGGGTTTGAGCTCTGGGCTAGGAGCATCAAGAGTTCGGGTATTGTTTAGGTCTTCCCATTTATCTTGTACTTTGTCAACACATTTGACTGTGGCATTTTTGGTATTTTCATAAAAATTGCTACTTTCATCTTTCAAATTCATGTGACAAACTGTGACTTCTCTGTCTACAGTTTCAGGGGTTTGGGGAATCATCAATTCATTTTTCTCAACAAAACTTCGGATAGGTTCTATTATTTTAACCTCATCCTTATTTAAAGGTTTTTGTACCTTTTCAGAAGCAATATATTCACAATGGGGAGGATTTCCATATCCTCGGCAAGACTTATCTTGCCACAAGACACAACTTTTACACAAGATGTACTAAAGCAGGGAATGTCTAGACCCTGTACATTTAGTTTCATCTGTTTTACAAAAAGTTCACATGAATTCTTGGTCATAAAATCTAATCCCAATATGCATGGGTTTTGTATATTAGCCACAAGTACTTTATGGGTAACTTGAACATTTTCAAGTGATATTTTGATTAAGCATTCTCCTTTAACCGGGATTGCATCACCACTTGCAGATGTAAGTTTGATAGATACTGGGGTAATTTGGGGCTTTTCCTCAGCATCTAGATTTTGAAAGAATTGGGTACTGACAATAGTCATACTAGCACCCGTATCTACTAGTATATTTGTCTCTTTATTTCCAATTTTCCAAATACATAAATTCCATCATTTCCCCCGTTTATATCTCTCACTAAAATTTCTTTGGGGGTAGGTGTATTACAAAGGGTTTCTTTCTCAGATTCAAATTCTGTTTTATTTTCAATATTGGGTTTGGGTTTTAGTGAGAGTGGTTGAGCCATATCTAATGGCGAGTGTTTGGGCCTGCCCCTTGATCCTGTCGACTTCCGACCCCCGAATTCGACTCTGGGTAGTTTCCCTGTCCTTGAGGTCGAAAAGGATTTTGTTTGAGGTTTTTGGGGTATTTGCCCCCATTATTTGAATTTCCTTGGTAGGGTGAACCCTGGGTCTTGGTTCATAATTTGTGGGTCTATGCCCTTCGTATTCAGGTCTGACTGGGTTTTCATACAAGCCCATATTGTAATAATTTTCATAGGGGGTTTGCCCAAAATTATGGGTCGGCCTTGGACCATTTCTTATAAGGGCTCTGATTTCTTGAGTAAGGGATTGTATGTCATCCCGCAAGTTTTGATTATCTTGCTTTAATGATGAAATAGGGTCAGTGTTACGAATGACATTGACAGTTTTATTTCTCTGGGCATCTGCCAATCTATAAGTTTCTAATCGAATGGCCAAAATTTCTGCTTCGTTTATGTCTTTTGGTTTAGCTTCCCTCAACCTTAATCGCATATCTGGGTCTGGTAGGGCATCAATAAATTGATCAAGTGCCAGAGTGCTTATAATGGTTGGGTCAGCTGTTGGGTATGCTTGACGAGTTAATTTTTTAATACACTGGGCCAATTCGGGTAAGGATTCATTTGTACCCCTAGTTTTGGTTTTGAGTTGGGCACGGTACATTTCAGATCTCTCAATGGAGCCATATCTCCTGTTTAGGGTTTTTACAAGGGAGTTAAAATCTCTTCTCTGATTTTCATTTAATTCGCTCAGTAGGGCACGGGCACCACCCGTAAGGCTACTGGCAAGGTACAGAGATTTTGTTTTATAGTCCCACCCATGCAAGTCAACTAAAATTTCAAATTGGGCGAGGTACTCGTCAAAGTCCTCTGAGCCATCATATGTTTGGGGTTTTATTGTTACACGGGTTTTGGGCAGGAATGGGGAAGGCATTCTGTTTTCATTCCTGTTTATTTCAGGTAAGGGTGAAAAATGGGTACCCAAGTTTGTACTGGGGTTATATTCCCTTTGACCATACACTTGGTTGGAATGAATGCGGGGAGGAAAATTGTCATAAGAATTCACTGGGTGAATGGGTCTGGGCATAAAATTGGGAAAGTGATGATTGTCTTCCCTATTTTGAATAGGGCTCTTAATTTCTTTTTCCAAATTGTCAACATGCTCTCTCAACCTTTGGTACTCATTTGTCATTCCCAACAAATGTTGGTTTACATTTTGCATAATAGACATAATAGCGTCTAATTGCTTTTCATTCACAGGTTGGGCGATATCTGATGCCTTTGATGGAGAAGGAGGATTTGAAACGGGTGTGGCCAGCCTATCATTCTCCAAGTTGTTAGGTGAAGATGGATGGGACTTACAAGTTACTTCAAAACTTTCTTCAAATTCCATGTTGTACAAAAAAAAAATGGACAATTTCAATAAAGTGTATTGAATTAATAAAATTGTACCTAAGTATAAAAATGATTTCTATCTATTTCTTAATTATGGGTAAACAAAAATAAGATAAGAGAAATCCCACTTCTGACACCAGTTGTAACGTTTCAGGGTATAGTGGTGGTTTTTGAATACTTTGTATTCTTTTACCACTCTGTGGTTTACCCCGTTACAGAAATTATATGTGGGTCTCTTATTTCTGAAATTAACCCAATAATAAGAAAAGATGGTCAATTTTCTATAAATTTATTAAAAACCAATAAAAACAGTTAAAACAGTTAAAATGTCAGGAATTTACTAAAATATGGCCAAAATCAACAAAAAGTGGCAAAAACTGGGGAAAATGGGTATTTTACTCAAAAAAATGGGTATTTTACCCATAAAATGGGTGTTTTACCCCTAAAATGGTGAATTTACCCAGGAAAAGGATGGGGACCCAAAATCACCGGGTTTGTAATGGCATCAGCCTACCCAAACCAATGGTACAAAACGTACCTATGGGTAGAGTACCAGTCTAATGGGCACTGAAGGCACCATGCCTGGTTGAGCAGCGCAAGCACTACTGATGATTTTCTCTCGGAGCGTTTATTATATACCTTTTGGTTGGTAGGTGCGAAATACTCCACGCGCGAATAACGTGCGGTGCCGCCATTATTCGCGCGACATTTGTCAACAACTTTGCACCAAGTAAACAAGGTTCTAAAAAAAGTATTACAAACGCTGGAAAAGGATGAATTATTGGTTTGGGATTACTTTGGAGATGATGCCAAGTGTATTTTGAGTTACATGAGTAGAATAACAATGCCAGGTGGCCATTTGTTATTACGATATGGCTGATCAATGGAGGAAATTCGGGTTTGTACTATACAACCATGAAATAAAC